ATTCAAGTAACAATTTGATTAAATCAGGCAAGTTTGTGTATGAAAGCATGATTTTTTTCTTCATTTTTTCATATAAAATTCAACATTGATCGAAAAATTTTTATTAGTGGGTGACACTTGACCCCCTGTAAATCTGCAATGTCCTGCGACTGATATTAATATCAATAAATTCTGTCAATATGTTTATTAATTCGCTGAAATATTTAACATCTTTTTTTGTAGCAAATTCTTGTTGTTCTAAGAATCTTTTTGCAGTTTCAAATGCTTTTCTTCCTCCTTCTATAGAAATAATAAATTCCAGTTTTATGAATTTATAAATTTTATTGAGTTTTATTTTTATTATTCAATTCTTAGGATAAAAGAATGTGTACATATTATGCCTAAGTCAAAACCAAGTTCTTTTATACATGTAAAAAAGATACTTTGCCACAACCATGAAAAAAAAAGATATTTTTTTTTATTGTTAAAAGAAATCAGCCATGTCTTTGTTGTTAAAGGAATCAACCACTCACTACCAAAAAAAAGAGATTAATTTCTTTGTTGTTTGTTAATGGAATCAACCAAGTTTCCAAAGAAAAAAGAATCAATTTCTTTGTTGTTAAAGGAATCAACCAACTCACCACTAAAGAAAAAAGAATAATTGATGATTAATTTCAGAAATCAACAAAAAAAAACCATTGTTATTAATATTAAGAAATCAAAATGAATTTGTAATTGACGATCCGTCTATAAATCAGAGAAATGTCGATCAATTTATTATAAAAATCTACAAATGTCCGTTACACACAGGGCCCTGTTGTTTTGAATAAGCTTGATCAACAAATAAATATACAAAAATAGATTTTTAATTATGCTCAGTTACACGGTGATAGAAATGCTGGTATTTTTTTATTTTGAATTTGTAACATTTTTCAACATTAATGGCAGAAAACAGTAAGTTTTTGCTAAATGATGCCCTCCATTACAAACTTATAAAATCCATCCCATATGTTGAACTAGAAGATCTGACTAAGGTTGATTGTGGCAAGTTTGGAAGTATCTCCGTTGCATATTGGCCCAAAATAAGAAAGAAAGTTGCTGTGAAGAGGCTACTTGCTTTTGGGGAGGACGACTCAGCCAATAAAAAGTTTGTTCATGAGGTATATCAGGAAAACTACTGCTTATATGCACAGGTCATCATAGTTTTTTTATCGTTTTTTGACTTCTAAAATCCAACCCATTTTCAATATTTATCATGAGTAATAGCTACAAATTCAAAAGCGAGTGGAATACCACGACAACATAATTCGAATCTTGGGTATTAGTCAAGGTAATTTATTGTTTCATCTATAAGATAGGATCAAAGTGTTTTGAATATTTTATCAAAACTTCACATTTTGATAGCATTATTTGCCAGATTCTCATTGTATGCAAAAGTTTTTTCGTTATAATAAATAGCTCACGAGCTCCACTTCTCACATATCATTGTTCATTAGATCCATGTAATAAAGATCGTCTACTAGTCCTTCAATATGCTAAAGATGGAAATTTAAGGGATTACCTTGCGCGTAAACATTCAACACTCACATGGAATGATAAATTCAAAATTGCTTTTGGAATTGCTGACGGTCTTAATTGTCTTCATGATGAAAATATTGTTCATTGTGATTTTGTAATACCTTTTAATATTTAGATGCACAATTCAATGTTATACCTTGTCTAATTTAAATTTATTGTTCTGTTTGCAGCATTCAAGAAATATTTTAATCGACAATGGTGAACCAAAAATTGCAGATTTTGGGATTTCTAAAAGCCTTGATACCATGTCAAGTTTGATTAACGGTGTTTTTGGAATGATTCCATACATCGAACCTAAACGTCTTGAAAATCCAAACTATAAACATGACAAAGCATCTGATGTATATAGTTTTGGGGTAGTGCTATGGGAAATATCAAGTGGTAGACCTCCTTTTGAAATATATCCATGTGATGTTGCATTGGCGATATCTATAAGTCTTGGTTCACGAGAGACACCAATTATTGGAACACCACAAGAATATGTTTTGCTTTATCAAGAATGTTGGAACAAGACTCCACACCTCCGATCAAACATCCTCACTGTTTTACAATCTCTTGAAAGGATAACTAAAAGTTACACGGAGAGAATAAAAGGTTAGTCAGCTATGTCATTATCTGTCAAAAATTATAATTCATGAAATCACATTGTTATCTTTTTGCGGAAAAGCTACTTCGCCCATTTTAGACACCATGTCGCCCACATCTGACCAACAAATGACTCAAAAAAATATCGACATTAATGCAGATTTAGGTATTTGTTGCTACATGGAATATTTTTATTTCTTGATGACCCATTGAATATGAATGAATATATATATGACTATTAATATTGATAATCTACATTAATTCTCAGATGCATATAATTCCTTACAATATAACCTTGTGATTCCTGATGATATTGGGTCTTCTGAATATGTCAAAGATCTGACTTTCATAGATACCCCCAAATCTACTATGAACATTTATTTATCCCAACCTTCTCGAACATCGAAGATAGTCATGCAGCCAACATTTTTCGAAAGAAACATAGAACCCTCAATTGAAGCGACACATACTTCTATTCCAGAAACAGATACTTCAACAACATCTGGATCTTCACATAATCAAGCTATCATATCATCTAAGAAAAATGACCAAAATTCGCAAAATCACAATTTCACAAAAGTTTCCAGATCGTCAAATCTGCTACCATTTCTCAACAAGGATGAAATCAAATTAAAAATTGTAGTTATAGGTAGTGGTGCAGTTGGTAAATCAAGTCTTTTGGAGGCATTTGTATTTGGAAAATGTCGACCTGTTTACATTCCTACAGTCTTTGAGAATTTTTGTGTAAATGTTAAAATTGATGGACAATATGCGTCGTTGTCATTATGGGATACAGCTGGTCAAGAGGATTTCGATGGACTAAGGCCGCTTTCGTATTCGAATGCTCATACATTTTTGATTCTATTTTCTGTTGATATTCCTTCTAGTTTAGAAGAAGTAATAGATAAGTGGGTGTAGTAGGTGATGAAGGAGCTGTTGTGTTTGTTGCAGCAGTTGTAGTAACTGTAGATGACGACAATGTTGTCAATGATAATGACGATGTGGATGATGATAATGATGTAGGTGATGATGGCGTAGAAGGTCTACTAGATGTAGACGTAGTAGTAGTAGATGCAGATGATGATGTTGAAGGAGTTGTAGATGCAGTAGTAGTAGTAGTAGTAGTAGTAGATGACTTGGATGCAGTGGATTTTAATGGTAGTTGTTGTACTCTTCTTTTTCCACTTGATAATATTAACATATATATATTATTTTTTGATGCATACATATAAATAATTTAATTTATATATTACAAAAAAAATACACTCGATTAACTTTTTTTTTTTTTTTTTAAATTAATTTTCAAATATTTTTTTTTAGTATTTTATATATATTCACATATTATTATATTTATATTTTTTTTACTTGGTTGATTGAACATTATTTGAAGGTTGTTGTTGAAGAAGTGACTGTTGTTGCTGAACAACAATTGTTGAAGAAGATTTTCTTAATTCATTAAAGAAATCTTTTCCATTAGCCATCAAATGCGCTGTGGTTTTATTATGTTGTTAGTATATATATTTATTAGTATTTGCTATATGTAGATATAATAATAATGATTTGTTGAAAAAAAAAAAACCTCGTTGTCCCCATACAGGTCCACTTTTACTACCCCATGCATTTTCTGTGGATTTATATAGTTCAGGTTTTTCTAATAAAATTATAAAAAATAAAAAAAAAAGGTGAATATGAATAATTGTTGCTAAAAACATCAGGATCTTGCTAATTATTTGTATTTGTTATTATTACTATGATTATTATTTTACCTCTCTGAAAAATATTCTTACCAGAGTCTGGAATAGTATTATCACGTAATTTTCCCATTGCTTCAATCCAACCTATCATCACCATCGTCATTTTATGTGTTAATTAAACACTGTATCGCCACCATAAATAAAATTCTTTTCCCAAAAGAATAAAAAAATTCGATACATACTATTATTTAAAAAATCCGAAACTTCTTGAGCATTGAAATTATTAACGGGAACATGTTCATGCACAGATCTCAAATGGTGATTATGTGGGTGTGGGTGGTGAGGAAGAGGCGGATGATGATTAAGATGATGAGGATGTGGGTGATGATGTAATGTAGAAGATGCTGATCCTATAGCAGATGAATATGATAACGCTGATGATGTAGTTCCCATCATGATGTTATTGTTGTTATTAATGATGTTGTTGTTGGGGTTGTTTGTAGAAGATACAATAGGTGCAGATAATGTTGGTGTAATTGGTGTAGGTGGTACTGTACTTGAAGTAGTTGTTGTTGTATTATGAAGGTCTTTATTGTTGTTATTATTATTATTGTTATTGTTATTGTTATTTTTATTACCAGCTGTATGTAATTCGGGAAAATATTGTAAAATTGTCAAATATTTGATATTTTTCTGTTAGGAACCTGAATAAAAATTACTAACCAAATGAATTTTTTCTTTTTGCATTGTTATAATCACGTCGGTCATTTTGTTGTTTCTTGAAGCTTTTTTTTTAAAGAAAAATAAAATTTTTTAATTATATAACTAACTTATTAGGAAATTAATTAAACGATAAACGATATTTAAATAATCCACACATACTGTTGTCTTTCTTCTTCACGAGCACCAGCCATATTGTATAAATTGCGTGTGTATGTATATGTGTATGTATGTATGTGTTTAATAGATGAGGATTACTAGAAGAATAAAATTTAAGTGATTAATATATAAATACATAAATATATAAATAATATAATATATTTTTTTAAAATATTAATAATTTTTTACTCACTAAAATTATATTATTTATCACTTTTACAAAACGATGAGCTTCTTTGATACGTACTTTTTTAATTTTTAAAAAAAAAACGAATAAAAATTTTTTCTTTTTTTTTTTTTCCGACAGCCTAGTTTAAAAAATTTTAAGGTATTACCATTTTATGTTTGTTATTTATTATTATTATTATGGGGGCATACAGACAAAATTGCAGGGGTCAAATTTAGTAGTGAAATTTCAAGCTTTGAAATTTCCACATTTTTAAGTTCATCTTTGGAATTACGATTAAGAACCAAATCTACGTAATTTTTTGTAGGGATAATAAAATTTCTTTCGTATTGATTATAAATGGTTTGTTCCTATTTTGTAAAGCATGGGTTCTTCGAGAATATAAATTTTACCACCTTGTTTAATTAGTTCAACGTACTCCTTCCTAATGATTTCAGTCCAAAGCTATTTTTATTTCTTTTTCTCTCAATCACAGTGGATTTAGTGAGTGTCCTTTCCGCTTGAATACTTTTGATGGCAGCGGTCATTAATTTGTAATCCATATTGGCAGGATAATTTGATTAGGATGAAGGCAATCATCGATATAAAAGATAGTAGTAGTCACTGGCTGATTCTTTTTTGGACAATGTTAATATTCCATTATTTCTTTGCCAATTATAGTTTTCCTTGAACCAGTTACTCCTCCAAGCAAATCAACATTAGCCCATTATTCATTAATTCTTGGTTAGTCATAACACTTACATTCAACAAATTTTATTTGAAGAGATATACTGTACTGTGAAAATATGCCATGGAAGCATGGCTAACAAAAGTATTTTGAAGAACAAAGTGTAAATAAATGCGTATTAATACGAAACCATAAATAGCCTAGAAAAAAAAGTAATCCATCTTAAGCTAGTTGTCAACAGTTTGTGCTGGTTTTGGACAAGCAATTCCATCTTGTAAAGATATTCTTAGCACTTGAGGTCCACATGAGTGAGTGAACGTCAATAATCGAAAGAATATAGTTTAATTAATATCTTGGAATTTTCTGCTCCCCTAGTCTTCAATAGCTCAAATTCTTGAGAGGAATCATTAACAATTTCTTGAGTTTTTACAATACCAAGATTAGAAATTTACAATATAATCGTCATTTAATTTGTATTTCAACTTCTTTGATATATTTGAAATTGCATTATCGCCATCTGGTTTTTATATACAGAATTTATAAAGTATTAAATGTGTAATATAGAAAAGAATGCTAAAATCTTTGATGTTACGTATTTGAGTTTTTGTAAATATTATGATAATACAGGCTATGCTGCCAACCAAACTCATCCTATCAAAGGTTGTTTTAACGATACTTTCAAAAAAAAAAAAAAAAATCTAAAGGCATAATTTCATTAAAAAAAAAGTTTTGACGGATATCTATTATAAAAGAGAATGTTAAAATTTCAAAAGTTATTTTCAACAAAGTCTTTTGATGATTTACATCTGGCGATATTTGGACAATCAAACTTTTTGATCTAAATCAAAAAGTCAAGAATCTTTAGCAGATCTGTTGTTGTTTATATCTGGCGACATAGGTCAACCACAAGCCTGATTGTCAATATCTAGCGATAGGTTTAACGAATCCTTGGTGGTCGGCACTAACAATGTAGGTCAATAAGCCTTACAGTCTTTGATGATCTCACCTGCAACATGCTTGAAGGTCGATATCTGGAGATACAGGTCAATAAGATTACTCGTTCTTAATTTTGCAACATAGGTATCTCATAAAATAACCATATAATGAAACTAGAAGTGCACAAACATCTCATCATAAGATTTTAGCAAATCTTCTACATCAAGGTCAAAATTAAGTCAGCCAGAAGCTGCATACATGATTAAAGTAGGTGTTTGCAACTGTAACTTTTAAAGCTTGAGTTAATGTTAGATAACATCCCGTATGTAATTCGTCACGAAGGGCATTTTTATCTTGGAAACAATGCCTTCTTTGCTTAATTATAATATCATACTTTAAAATTAAATTCATAACATTTTTAATAAACCAATTCACCTTTCTATTTATAATATAATGGTGAAAAAAGGTACGAAACGACAATGTGTTGTGTGGGCATTTGATGATGGATATTTGATTGTTTAACGTACATAAAATATTTTTTCCTGGTCGAGTATATAATATTTTGCTGCAGAACTCTAGGTTAACCCGCAGTGTATTAATCGTATTAATATTCATTCTAATCATACAGTTGGCGCTCGATATAAGAAAGTTGAGAAAAAACTTCATTATATTGATTAAAAATAAATAATATAGAAAATAAATATTTACTATCCAGCGTTTTTAAGAAGCAGTATGTTTGGGTATGTATGTGGATTTTAATTGCTTTCTAATAGCTTTTTTGTAGTAATTTTTTTGTCATACATGACTAATAATTTTTTAACAAGAATTATATCGCCTGTAATTACTCTTTTATCCGAAAGTGCTTGATTTCAAGATTAGGATACTTTGCAGCTTTATCTTTTTGTCTGTTGGTATCATTAAGATTTATCTTTATCTTTTAAAATGTTGCAAACAGCAGGTTCTGCGATTGCGAATTTTTTGACCAAGTTCTTTTCTTTATATTAATATGTGAGCGATGGGTTTCTTCCATTAAATTTACAAAGTTTTTTTTCCTCGTCCCAAGTCAAAACTTTTCTTGGAGACATTTATTAATTACAAGAAAATTATTTTTTTTCGCGACACATTACTACCAAATTTATTTTTCGTGTGATACATTCAATTGCTTTATTTTTCGCGACACTACTAAATCTAATCGCAATTGTTTTTTCATGATAACTTTTAAATTTTTTTCAATCTCATGCATAATACGACAAATTACTAAATTCAATCTCATCGAAAAAAATTTTTTGCGACAAATTACTAAATTCAAATTTTTATTATGTAAATATTAATGCAATTAAGTAAAACTTCACTATATGATTATATCGAGAGTTTATATTAAAAATCACTATATCGAGCAGAATTTATATGTAATGAAATGGGAAATTTTCCAACTTCACTATATCGTACGATTTACTATATAGTAGGTTCACTATATCGAGCGCCGACTGTATAGAGCTCTTTATAAAGCAAGATCGGCATAAAAATTTTCGGCAAGTGGCGCAGCACGTGATGTCTTTAGATGATTCGCACCGTAGAAAAACAACTGGGTAACTCACAACCCATAGTTGAGTATTAACAATTTAAATTCAATTTTGCTTATATTTTGATGTAAGGAAAAGGGTTTCCTTACACACATATATAAAAAGAATATATTGCTAATAATAGTTTGTTAAATAATAATATAAAATATGTTCATATCACAATAGGTTGAATTTAAACCTAGGCCATAATCATTTTTCATGGGGCTAATTGACTAGGTTTTTTTTAATTTCTTTAAATCATTTACTTAAACTTATTCATCTACAGTGTGTTGCAAAAAAAACCAGATAAATCAAATTAATCATCATGGAACAACCACTGCATTAATTCATATAAAAAATATTTCCATTTGATAGGTTAAGGGCAGAACTTTTATTGAATATATTTTAGTATGAAATATTTTCATTATTGATTTTAATTACTGGCTGACATCTTGATTTTTTTTATCAAAGTAAATTAATTAGAAATAAATCAGGAGTTGGATTCCACTTTTCTATGATAAATTGTCTCACATCTTTAAATTTTAACTTTATTACATTATTTATAATTGATTACCAAAAATTTTAAAGAAATCTAGTACATAATATTAATAATAATAATAAATTGTGATATGTCACATGATTCTAAAGGTGATTCCATTTCTTTGAATGATTAACTTTCCTATAATCCACATTGTCCATTTCATACAACTTATTAATATTGAAATAGTTATTTGAGAATGGAGTGC